TCTTCAAACTAGTAACAACTACAGAAAATTATGGCAGAATCGCATTCAAGCAAACTTTTGCATTGTTTCAGTTTTTAGTCTGCAAAGTTGTTTAGTATAGTCAGCATGGATTCTGCGGTTGAAAATCTTACAAACTGTTTTGTTACTATCTTAAACCCTTTTCTCTTTTTTGACTGTTGTAAATTCATTACAGAAAGAAAATTTGATGAACTAAATGCAATTTGAAAGTAAGTTCGCGGCAAATTTTGACCACTTTATCATATTTCGTAGCATTTTTCTTCCAAACAAGGATAAATTCTGTAAGAAACCCAGATAATTTTCATTCTCATGAAATTAGAGATAAAACGAGTATAAGATTGAAGCCTTCACGATTCGAAAAAGCTTCTGAAATTTTGATGTCTCCAAAGTTACTATAATTTTGGCAAACATAAATAAATCAAAACGCTGGAACTTTTCTTTTGATTGCTTGATTTTGAATACCTTCCAGTACATCTATAGAACTTGCTAAATATCGCATTTTAATGACTGTCGCGCTATTAGGGCATTTTAAGGACATTTCTGAGATCATAAACTGAGCGAACTTTCACGTTAAATGCCGTAAGTACAGTCGATAATTGCGACTGAACTTAGAAATATGACTCAACTAAAATCATAGATGATTTTGTTTGCTCCTCCCAATGTGTCCGGTTTAACTCAACTTCTATTGCTACCAGTATCTACTATCAACAAACATTTTACTTTCTTCTTTACTTATTTTTGCTTATATAAAAAAAGGTGCCATTCAAGTGTTTCCCTGCACATTTGAGGCTACATTTTCTAATTGCGCTACACGATACCTGTTCCTCAACATCGCGAACGCAATCAACATTGTTCAGAGTCGCCCTGCTACTGAGTTTGATTACATTCGGCTTGAGCCACATTGAAAAAGTCGTTTTAATCCCGTGGATCTGGATTTGAGAATTGCTTATAAATTGATATAAACAAAAACAGAAAACTGTTTGTTTGCTGTCTTTTTCCAAAGTGCGTAGGCTTGCTTTTTAACAGTTCTTTCCATTCTGAA